GATTTTTTTCTCTCGGGAGAAAATCGCAGATGCTCGCATGGTCGCGGCTCGTACTGTGTGAGAAGAATTACGGGCCGATCCGAGACGTTACGAGCACCTCCCGTCCTCCCGATAATTTTCAAACATGTCAAAAAAAATCAGATTTAAAGTCGGTTTAAATTCGTGGCGTATGTGCGGTTGAATGAGACGATTTGGCGATCCATCTGAAGTTGACCAATCAGAAGATGACAAAAACCATATAGTCTATAATAATTTTAGTTGAATTATACAGTTCTGTTTTTTATTTGTTATTCCGAATGTGACAAATTTGCCGTTCAGCTTTATGAATGAATATGCCTGTTGTATTTCCGGCAAAACGAGCAGAAATTCAGAAATGGCCTACTCCCTCCAGTTCTTTATGAAGAACAGAAAGTCCATGCTTTTCAGCCATTCTCTTTGCCATGTCCTTTGTCTTCGTTTTTTTTATTTTTGGACGTCACAAGCCGCCTGCCACAAAGAAAACTATTTCATCCTCAGAATCCATATTTTTATGAATGGCGCGAAACGTAATGCTTACGTCAGAGTTTGTAAAATCGTAGTAAATTCGTGTCATGTGTGACTGCCTCCGTACGATTTTTGGATAAACTAAATCGTGACGTGCCAGAGCTCACGACGTTCCGACCTTCAGAATCGCACCGTGTACGCCCGCCTTAAGAAGGAGCAGTAAAGTCAAGTTTTTATTTTCTGAAACGTTTCTCATAACATGACCCAAACCTTTTACAAAATCATAAAGAACAGTAACCTATCATCTCAGACAAACTGGCCTCTAGCTATAAATGTCTCGCTTGAATCTCTGGCTCCAAACACGATGGTGGTTCGGAGCAGCTTCTGTTGCTAGGCGATGTTGTTTGCTTGTCATTTTATGAAAGGAGCGTCTGCCGTTTTTTCTCAGCGTTAAAAGCATTTTAATGTCTGCGCTGAACTGAAGGTTTCAGAAGTCAGGTAAACAGAGCATAGCTGAACTGACATTACCTGAGACGTCACCCGGAATATCTAAACACGACAGAAGACACTATAGTTAGAAGACACAGATCTTCGCATAACCATCTCCGAGCAATCTGCTAAAGGAACCATCTCTCTCAACTCGTTCAAAATAAATATTTGCATTTCTAAAAATCTGTTGTTTTCCCTTTTATAAAAACACACATGGTTTCTCGCTGTGCCCTGAACTGATGGGTAATTAGTCACTTAAATGAAGCAGTAAAGAGATACTCTCCATTCAGTGAAAGCGCTGATGGGCTCGTGCATCTCTGTGCATGTTTCCCAGCTCAACCAATGACATTTAAAAGCCTCCACTCAGCACGCCGGCAGCGGTGCGCACTGTATGGGCCCTTTGGACGCACGCCGACACAGGAGGGATTGATTTTCTAATGTGCTATAGGGCTGCGGTGGTCTGGCATGTCATGCCTGCATGCTGTCGAACCGTCACACGTATGACAGGAACACGGGCAGACTGAGTTCATGGGAGTTCGCGTGAGCACGTCATATCGAGAGAGAGCAGACGTGTGCATATGTGTGTCGGGAAAAAGAGGCAGATACATTTTGAAGGTGAGGCGTTTGGGAGTCAGGTTTTTCTTATCGCTCTTTTGCTTTTCTCCGTCTCTTCGCCCCTCCTCCCGCAGGCCCTGAGGAAGTGACATTCAGGGGATATTGTTACTTAAAATGGCAGCAAATTCAATGCGTCCAGTGCCGTCTGGGTCGCTTTGGGCCATGTGATTTAGCGGTGCGGCAGACTGGATGCCAATCGAGTCGAAAGCGACGCTATAAAAGCTACCCGGCGGATTCGCAAATCTCTGACAATTTGGATGTTTAATAAAAACTGATCGCAACTCGATGCCCCAGTTTTGCCATAAAATAGGCGATAAAAAGGCAGAGCGTCGCTCAGTTTGATAACAGATGGCTTGAATTTTTTTGTTGTAGTCCCTGTGTGG